TGTATTTAAATTGTATAGAATTTGACTGAAATTAATAGATAATAATTTGGCAATAAATACCTGACACGCGTCGACCCCTCCTTCGGGAATACCGGCGCAAATCATACTCTCTGTCACTTCGTTGTAGACTTTATATATTTCTCGGCAAACACTTCTTTCCACAGCCGGAAGAGTGATTTTCTGCAATATTGGCGACAATATTTGTACCCCTTCTGTGGTATATCCCCAACCAGTTATGGCCACCGATTGGCCAGCGGTTACGTCCGAGTCCTGATCGGGCAGTGGAATCGCTTTCACAGTATTTGAGTTCAATTTAATGGGTGTTTTGGTGCGGATTAAAGCGATGTCGTTGTCGAGCGTCCAATCGCTATATGACGGATGCGCTACCGTTTCAATAGCTTCGGCCACTTCACCGCCGCTGTCGTGATGTATACTCCCATAACGTATTGATAAAATTTCCGTCGGATTTCTGACATATTTTAAGAAATATTAAACGCAAGAATTAGTTTTTATTTTGTAGTAAAAATACAAATGTTTTAATAGTGTTGTTTATAGATAAAAACTTTATGAACTGAACATAGATCTACTCGCGTTTACTTTAATAAAATCTTCCATTAAATTCAATGAGAATATTTGCAGCAAACTTTGTTTTGAGTTAGAAATTGTAAGTTAGAATCCAATTTCATTCATATTATTTCTTTTGTAAATTTATTGAAAAGTCAAATATTTGTTTACTATAAAGCTGTGCCTCACTTATGCAGAGCCAATGCAAAGAATAACCCTTTTGAAAATACAATAGTTATCAGTCCTTTAGAAGGTTTATTTACGAGAAAACATCAATTGTTAGCCATATTTCAACCAAAGAGGAGCGAAAGATTCGGATCATTACTCGTATTCGTTATTTATCAAAATTTACAAAAACATTATTAATTTGGTTATTACAATATATTTACTTTATACCATCGTGTATTTGAGTTTAACTATAATATATTACTATTTATTAAAATTATAAAATGTAAATTACCCTTCAATACAGTGGGCGGCCGTCACAACCCATTCAGAACTTATAATAGAAGCGCCGCATATATGGGAGCTATACTTCTGGAGAGACACCTGATATGGAAATTCTCCCTCTTCTGCATCCTTTCCGCCGACAATATATCCATCGATTTGTTTGTAGTTTTTAGTTAAAACCGATTTATTGTGCAAATGAAATGCAAATATTGTTTTACAAAATAACTGAATTGCAAATAAAAATATAACATTTCTCGTAAACATTTTATTTCACTTACAACTTCTCTTAAACTTACTTTTATAACGAAAATATTTTATTAATTAGAAATTATTTTGCCTTTTATTCAATTGAAAGGTAATAAAATATTTTTATCATTGATTGCATTTATATGTTTGATTGAATTAAATTATGAGGCAATATATCACTGCTTATCGTATGGATTAAAAGCATTTTCTATAACTTTATTATTTGTATTTTACATTTAAATATAACGTTTGAATTTGTATTTATCGTAAATAGTTTTATAACAAAACTACAACTCAGAAATTGTCACTAGTTAATTAAATTATTATATTTTACGTTTACATTAATAGATGTTATGCCTAATTGTTTGCAATTTTAAATCTAATTTAACCATTTTTGGACAATAATACCAAAATGTTTAACATTTTATTTATTAATTTTTAAACCAATTATTTATTATTAAATTTCAATTTCAAGTGTAAGTTAATGCCACATAAGTTACAATCTTTCTTAAACTTATGCTAATAGTAAAGTAAATTGTAAACATTTAAACCGAAACACATGTAAATATTTTACTTATAAACACATCTCATATGATAGCATAAACATTGAAATGTTTATCTTCTTGATCATAAAACTATCCCGTTTAAGTAATCAAGGTGTGAAACAACTCACACACAGCGATGTTATACGTTAACCACAACCGAACAATCCTATAAACCACATTATTCAATGATGAATTGTGGTTAAAAAATATGCACTCTTTTATCATAATAATAATAATTATTATTGTCTTAATACTGACATCGAGTCCGAGCTCTCACTGTCTGTCCAGCACTCATATCAAACACAACAAAACTATGGGTCTGAAGGATACCCTATCATATCGCGTGTCAAGTAATACGGAATATGGCCAGTGTTGGCCCACTCGGCCATCCAGAATGGCTGACCCGTATGTAACTAATACTTTATACCTAAAATTTGCAACAATTGAGGTCAAAAATGTAATAACAAAATCATAAATTACCTTCTTATTTTATATTAATAATAGTATATTATCTTTAAATATAGAATATTTAAGTGTATATAATTTCATACAATTCATTATGTAATCAGATTGGGTTAAAGTTGAGAATAAATAATGAAAAGTACGGTATAAAGAAGTGAAGAGTCATTAATAAAATGATACTTTGAATGTATTGGTTGTGCAGCACATGAAGCAGATGTTTGTTCCGCACCACACGTGAAGCATAAGGTGCTAAAGGAGTGATACAATGATCCTTATTATGGTAGAAATGTATATTCTTTAGCATAAGCTTTGCATTCATCTCAAGAA